CTTACAAAGGGGGAAGGCCAGATCGGCAGGAACGGGACCCCACACCTTACTCCCCCACATGCCTGTGGCTGGGGTGACAGACTTAAAGCCAGGTCCAGGAGTACTGGCATACCTTGTCTCTGTAGGGTCTGCTGTTTCCATGCATGTGCCCACAGCCCAACCTCCCCTACCCCTCACCCTGCAAACTAAATTCAGTGCTGGTTGGGAGCTGGTGCTAAGTGCACCTCTGCCCGCATGCGGGTCCTGCTCAGCCCTTCATAGCACCAGGATCCATGTGTTCTGTAACAGGCGGGTGCTCCGGCCAGATTTGACATGAGTCAGGAGGCTTGGACAGCGGCTCCTGGCAGAGCAGCTGCAGGCACTGAGAGGCCTGTGCATGTGAGACTGGGTCACGGGTTCTGGCCCTACTTGCAACTTGTGCTCAGGCTCAATGCTGCCTTCACAAGGAAAGAAGGCTGAGTCAACCCCATGGGAGGGACAGCACTGTGCTTTGAGTGTCCCCACAAAATCCATGTGAAAACGTGGAGGCAATGGGGCCAGCAGCTGACATAGTTAAGGTACTGGATTCTACATAGCCAACTCTGAGGTTCAAGTCCCAGACCTAGCAGCTTGAAAAACACATCTGGAGGGGACCAGCAGTTAGTGTAATGGCTATGTCGCTGGACTCCCAGGCAGGCAACCACAGTTCGCGTCCTGTACCCAGTGGCTTAAAACTCATGCCAGGTGTGTGTGCATGTGTGCCCAAGATCCTGAGAGGAGAATGGAGAAGGGATTGCAGCGTGACCATCCCCCCTGGGGAGTTTCTCACTAGAATTCTGTCTCTATGTCTCTGTCTGTCTGGCGAGCGCACGCGCCCTACAGTGAAAATCTCTCCAAAAAAGAGAAAAACACCTGGGATGCGTGTGCATATACCCCAAGATCCTGAGAATGGAGAGAGGATTGAGGTGTGGCCAACCCCCACAGGGGAGTGATTTCTCACTTTCTCTTCATCTCTCTCCAGCAAGTGCACTCTCCCTATGGCAAAAATCTTAATTAAACATTTGGCGGGGTCCACCATGGCCTGGTCATTTGGACAGCAGGATAAACACAGCCGGCCACACAGTACAGACCCAGACCTGGAGGCTAGAACGGCAGGCACGTGTGTGTACATGCCCAAAATTCAGAAAGGAAGGAAGGATGGACTGACCACACCCCACGAGGGTGCATTCTCTTTCCATCTATCACCAGTGAGCATGCACCCTCTGGCAAAAAATGCACCTAGAAGACATGTGCACAAGGCCCTGAGAACGGAAGAAACCCTGGCCCATCACTGCTGAGGAAGCTTACTCCCACTGATGTGCCACACTGAAAGGCCCGATCTGCATGATGCCATGGTGGGCTGAGGGTCCTGATGCCTAGTCATCTCCTAAATGCCCAGCTTAGTCCAGTCCAGTCAGCCCCCAAAGCTGAGAACCAGACACCAACCTCGGAGCAAACGGGGCACTGCCCACCTGCCACTCCAGCCCTCCCAGTCACTGCCTGTCCCCAGCTACCATGTCTGACGTAGGCTGAGTTCCGGCTATAGCAGCCAAAGTCCCAGCCACCCCCATACAGCACTGGGACCACCTGTGAGCACATCACCAGGTGGAAAAATCATTCACATAAATAATGGCTGCAAAAGGCAGCAGCCCCACTCTTGGGGGACCAGTGGTGGTGGTGTGGTTAAGGTGCTGGACACTCCCACACGGCTGACCATGGTTCAAGTCCCAGACCAGGTGGCTTGCTTTCTCATTTTTTCTTCCCGTCTTTCTCTAGTCAAATTAAGATGAATGAATAAAATTAAACAATCATACTTTTTTTAAAGGGCGTCCCATTTTAATGGTTTATTAAAAGCCTTACACTTAAAAGGCAAAGGCAAAAACGGGCAGCTCTGCCACTTCATACTTGCAGGGACTACACGGTCTCGCTGGCTCACAGCGGACAGTATCCCCGGGTCCCTGGGCGCAGCACTGAGCACCACAGCAGGGGCTGCACAGCAGGGGCGATTCCCCTCACTTGCTGCAGGCACTTGGCTGTCAGTTGTCAGTTGCCTTGAGCACCAGCTCCACCAGAGATGCAGGCCCCCCAGATAGCAGCCCCAGGCCAGCCCATTCCCTACCCTCCCTCTGGGTGTGTGCTGCCCTGTCTGCACCTGAGCCCAGCCCTGGCTGGGATCCACCGGCCTCTGCAGGGACACTGGCAACTGACCTGCGTCAGTGCCCATGGCCTGAAGCTCCCCAGGTGGACTAGATGATGCCACCAGCCTGCCCTGGCCCTCGCTCTAGTGGCTGGCAGCCCAGCTGTCACTCGCTGGTGCCCTGCCCTGTCCGTCACTCCATGGCCAGCCTGCAAGGCCCGGCCCCAGCTGCTACTCGTAGTGGCCAGCCATCCCACCCTGCCCGGCTTGCTCTTAGCAGCCTCTTCATGCTGCAACACTGAATCCAGTGTCAGCTCCAGGAATTCATTGGCGTTTAGGGACAGGGTTAGGGAAGTGGGTCCTCCCTAAAGTGGCCCTGTGGTGTCTCAGCCTGGAAACTGTTTTGTCATGAAGCCTGAGTGACACTAGACTCGGGACAGCAGGCACCAGGCCCACTGGCTATGTTCCAGGCAAGGGCCACATGGCACCTGCCCCAAGCAAGATGTGGGCCCTGGATGACCACCCCCCCATGAAATAGCAGACCTCAGGGACCGAAAGGCAAGACCAGGAGGCCGTCCCATGCTAAGTGTGGGTAGGAACCCCAGGGGCTGCTGTCCAGGGTGAGGACCTGCGTCACAGGTGCACCTCCAACTGTCCACGCTGCTGCCCCAGCCTCCTCAGTGCCCTGTAGGCCTGCACTGCACGCAGCCGCTCCTCCTCCACAATGCGCTGTCGGGCCAGCGACGGGGTCAGGGGCCGTGATCCTCTGGGCCTCAATAACGCCCTTAGCACCAGCGACCTCCTGCCAGGCTGAAAAAGGAGGCGAAGGGAGGCAAGGCTGGGACCTGGGGGCACTTCCTGTGCCCAGTGGGTGCACGTCCGTCCCCAGCCCTCCTTACCTGGTCCCTACTGGTGCTTGTCCTGGGCGTGGTGGTCAGCTCTGGGGGCTGCAGGGCGACCTCCCCAAACTGCACCGGGTCTGGAGGGGCAGATACACCAGCGGCTGTCGCCTACACTGCTCCCCAACCACCCCATACCCACCCCAAGGGCTAGGGTGGACAGACCAAGGACAGACCCCAGGAGGGCACCAGTGCCCACTGCAGCTGGTGCTACGGGAGCTGGCACTGCAGGAGAGCTACCTCGGAGCAGCTCCTGCTCCAGCCTCTCTGCCGCCCTCTCCGCCTTCTTCCGCTGGACTCGATCCTGCCGCCGCCTCTGGAACCTGGGGGAAGTACAGCTCCATCTGGACTCACTTCTCCTCAGGTGCAGTGACACCCCATGTGCACACTCTCCTCACCATGAACCCACGGCCAGCCGTGAGAGGCTCTGGACCAGTGGCCCAAGTTCCTCATCAGCACTCAGCCTGGGACCACTGTCCCAGAGAGCACTTGACAGTGTTTGGATATTCTGGCTGTCACGTGGGGGGTACTGGCCACTCCTGGGTGGAACTCGGGTGCTGTCAACACCTTCCATCCTGCAGTCAGTCACTGGCCAGGGCAGGGCTGCTGTGCATCTCAAGGGCCTGGCCCTAAGCCCTGGTGTGACTGGCTCAGTGTCGGTCGCTGTGGGCCCAGGCTGTGCACAGGTGGCAGTGGCCCTAAGCCCTGGTGTGACTGGCTCAGTGTCGGTCGCTGTGGGCCCAGGCTGTGCACAGGTGGCAGTGGCCCTAAGCCCTGGTGTGACTGGCTCAGTGTCGGTCACTGTGGGTTCAGGCTGGAGCTGCATGAGGGTCTCTGTGACAGTTTCCCTTGGCTCATGTGGACGTATCACAAGGACTCAGAAACAAAGACACCACAAAACTGGAAGCCATGTCCCTGACCTTCACTACTACAGGGAATCACGCAGGTGTGAACAGGTGATGTGGTGGTTAAGGCACTAGACTCCCACGACTGGCCATGGTTCAAATCCCAGACCTCATGGTCCGGACATCATGCCAGGTGACGTGTGCGTGTGCCCAGAATCCCAGACGGGACTAGAGAAGGGACTGCAGCGTGGCCGTCCCCACAGGGCGATGGCCCCCTCACCCTGTCTCTGCAGTGAGGGCGTATACCCTGTAGCAGCAAACAAAGAAGTGTGACAGCACAGACCCGCAGCTGCAGGAAATCCTCTTAACTCCCCCCCTCACCCTGTCTCTGCAGTGAGGGCATATACCTATACCCTGTAGCAAAAAACAAGAAGTGTGACAGCACAGACCCGCAGCTGCAGGAAATCCTCTTAACTCCCAATGAAAGCTTGGGCCGGCTCATCTGAAAAACCGGGGGTGACATCTCAAAAAGCCCTCGTTTGGCTCAGCTGTGGTGGCACAAGTGGCAGGCACTACTGCATGACAGGGAGCAGCGTGGGAGGACCTGGTCTGGCTCCAGGGGAACACAGACATGGACATGTTGGTGTGCTCACAAAGCTAGGGGATCAGGGGAGGAGTGTGGTGTGAGAGCACCCTGTTGGGGGTCCTGGCCTGTTTCTGACGTGAAATAAATAAAAGAAATAAAAACATTAAAACCAAAAAACTCCTGGTTGTGGAAACCACCCCTCCCTCACGTTAAGCCAGGGAGGTGGCAGGCACGGGCCTGGGAAACGGCCTGCAGGGTTCTCTCCAGGGCTGGTGCCCATTGTAAGGACCCAGCAAACATCGTCTCAGACAAGAACAAGGCTGAGCTCTTGGGCAGGACTCTGCTCAGGGTGCTCAGAGCTCTTCCGCACCAGGAAGGGCAACGCCAGCCTTGCAATGACCCCCCACGGGCTGGTTCTGCAGGCAGGAGGGAGCCTGGTGTTAGTGGGCCCAGCAAGCACCTCCGGGCAGGTAGGGCCCTGGTAGCCAGCGACCCTCTCCCAGCAGGCAGGGCCCTGGTGGCCAGTGAGCTCTCCACAGCAGGTAGAGGCTGATCTACTTTGCAGTTGGGGTGGACAACTGGCACCAGGGTGACCTCGCAGAGAAAGCAAAGAGCGGGGAAGATGCTGCACAGCCCAAGGGTTCTGGCCTCCCTGAGGCCCTCCCTAGGTAGAGCAGTTCTGATGGGGAAACACTCACCAACTGACGCGGGCTGAACTTCTTTCCAGTTCCCCTGAGCCATCAGGTGGGGGACAGGGCACTGCCTCAGAAGGCCAAACTAAGAGCCCCTGGCCCTTCCTCCCAGGGCGCTCCAGTCCCACACTCACGCTTTCTTGCGCTCAGACTTCTCCCTCGTGGACGGGGCCTGAACCTCGGGCTGCCGGCTGGCCTGGTTCTTGCTAAGGAACAGCACGTGCTGGGCCTCTTGCTCCATGCGCTGGATGTAGGCCCTGTCGGACTCCCCCTTCCCCTGCTGGAACTTGGGGACCGCGATGTCTGGGTCCACTCCCTTTGCCTCCTTCTCTAATGTCTTCCTGAAGGCCACCTGGGCTGAGAACAAAGGAGACCACAGAGGTCTGGCATGAGGGTTGGAGGACGGAGGAAGCCAAGCGGATGGCCTGCGTTCTTTGTCACCCGAGGCCACGGAAAGAGACAGCCAGGCTCATGTGGAAGCAGCCCGACTATGGCACCTAGGGAAAGCTTGAATGGCCCTGCTCAGGCCTCAGGGTCTGGGGTACTGCATGGCTGGCTGATACATGTCACGAACAGCCACCAGAGCATGCTTTTAAAGAACCAGATGCAGCTGGGGTTGTCAACAGGTGACAGGCTGCGAGACAGTCCCGTCTGCCCACAGGCTTCACGGCACAGCTGAAACCTGGCATAGCTGTGCACCAGGAGGCGGGAAGCCTGTGATCCCCTATGCGGGGACAGGGGACGTGCAGGTGGAAGGTCACAGTGTGTGCGTCATAAATACATGCAAGTATGCAGGCTATCTCCCCTGGGAAGGTCACGCCAGAAAACAAAGGTTGGCAGGTGGCGCTGGACTCCCACACGGCTGACTGTGGTTCGAGTCCCAGACCTGCCAGCTTGCTTTCACACTTTCTCTCTCTCTCTCTCTCTGTAACTCTCTGGTCAAGGATGGAGGGAGGGGTGGAGAGAGGAAAGAAGGATGGATAGATAAAATAATTCTTTTTTTTTTTTTTTTTAAGAGGTTTTTGCAGGACCCGGTGGCTTAAAACTCACACCGGGCGCGTGTGCGTGTGTGCCCGTGTGCCCAAGATCCCGAGAGGGGAATGGAGAAGGGATTGCGGCGTGACCATCCCCCCAGGGGGTGATTTCTCGCTTTCTGTCTCTATGTCTCTCTCTGTCTGTCTGGTGAGTGCACGCACCCTGTAGCGAAAACCTCTCCAAAAAAAAAAGAAAAGAAAGAAAAGAAAAAAAATGTATGGCATGTGCAAGCTCACTTTTTAAAAATGCCTTAAGAAACAGAGAAGTAGGCCAGCAGGTGGCGTGGGGGCTGCATCACTGGACTCCCACATGGCCAACCATGGTTTGAGATCCAAGGAACTGGTAGCTTGAAACTCACGGCAGGCCCATGTTCATGTGCCCAAGTTCCCAGGAGGAGAAAGGAGGAGTGGAGACTGCAACGTGGCTATTTCCCCCAGGGATGACTTCTGACTGTCACTGTCTCGGTCCCTCCTCAGCAAGTGCACAGACCCTAAGGAAAAACCCACACAGCGGCACACACTCCATACGGCACAGCCTGGGACTGCCCCCACTCTCATCTCTCCATCTCAGCACCCACACAAATGGAAAAGCAGCACTACCCCGGGGCGGCAGCTGGATGCCCATGTGCCTGACCACAGTTTGAGTCCTGGACCTGGTGGTTTGAAAGTCACACCTGGTGTGTGCACATGTGCCCAAATCCCAGGAGAACGGAGACGGGATTGTGGCATGGCCATCCCCTGGGGTGATTTCCCACTTTGCCTGTCTCTCTGGGGAGCACGTGTACCCAATGGCAAAAACCTTTAAAAGGAGGGTAAACAACACTGCCACAAAGCGCCGGGTCTGAGGAGACTAAAACAAAGAAGTTCAAACACAAACACCGTGCCCAGCACAGCTGTGTGCTCCAGCGAGGCCCGCAGGAGGGCGCCCGCCACTCGGGAACTGGAAGGCCAGCTTCTCAGAGGAGTGGCCCAACACCCCTAAACCCCAAATCCGGCATGGCTTCAGACTGTAGTCCAAGGAACGATTACTGCTGACTGGCAACAACCTCACTGACCTACCGTGCCCGCTGCGCCCTCCACCTTCCACACAGCTATCTCGCAGAGCCACCTGCCCGGCCACCCCTGCTCAAAACCCCCTCTGGCTTTCGGCCACTCAGGGGCTATGAGCACTCCTCACCACAGGCCTGCCATGGTCTGATGGAGCCCGGACAATATCTCGCGTGGAGATTATCTGGCTGCAACGGAATGAAGAGTGAAAAACGTCATCTTTTATTTTTAAAGAATTATTTTAACATTACTTATTTAATTTGACAAAGA